ACTGAAGGGAAGCGAAAAAAATTAGTTTGTTTAAACTGTAACTTACATTAACTGGTATATGGCCATTTAAGTTTCTAATCTGTTTAATTTTGCTACCTCTTCTACTTTTTTCTTGAAACGTCTATCGCCTCGGACCTTCACCTGACTACTCGTGCAAAAAAAACTATCCGGCAACGGTTGTTACCGGCCTGTTTCTTTGTTACCTTTGTATTGTATCTAATACTAGGTCAATACGGATCACATGCGCTTGGGTAATGGATCAACTTTTTCTAAACTTTTTTGTATGAAAATATTCTTTAATATTTTTACTTATGTCCATTTATTTTATGTGTTTTATATACCGGTATAAACTATGCCTCTCTTTTTTCATTTTCCACTTGGAAAATACGAATAAAGATGTGTCTTATATATACTAGTACTAGTGTTTTTGTAATATATTTTGGATAAGAGCAAGAACACATTAAATAAGTGAAAATAGAAAGATATTTAGAAAAAGGGGATCCATATATAGATGGCGGTCGTATTTGTTTACAAATTAACCATCACAAAAATATCCTAAAGTTAGGAACACCATAAGACCATCTTAAGACACCTACTTAGGTGTCCTAAAGTTAGTACGATTCCTATCACTTTTCCTAAGTTACGACATGTTTGACAAACGCACTTAGGACAAAGATACGTCCTAAGCAAAGATGATCTAAGGACATGTCCAAGTCCTAAGAGCACTTCGATAAACAGTGTTTGTAAAATATAGAATGTCTGTCTTTTTTTTTTGGATTTAAAGACATTTAAAGGCACTTATACTAAGTCAGAAACCTGGGGCCAGTTTCACAAAGCTGATATGTCTTATGATGGTCTTACGACATATCTTAGTCATAAGTGGGTTTCACAAAGTGGTCCTAACTTAGGACATCTCTTTAACTTGGTCATAAAGTTAGGACTACACGAGAGATGTCTTATGATGGTCTTAGGATAGCCATAAGTTAAAATACATATATAAATTACACTGATTTTTTATATTAATTTTGTAAATTATCTAATCATTATCTAAATATCTAATCTCCTTTTCATGTTCTTAACTAAATCTTTATAGGATGACGGATTATCAAACTGATTTATCAACATTGAACATTCGATGTATTTGTAGCAAGAATGCACGAGTTTATCCTTTAACCTTATTATAACCGAAACAGTGACAAATTGAATTCAACTCACTTGTACCAAAAAAAATGTCATAATTTTTTTATTTTTTTTTTTTCAATTTTGTATTTGAATTTATATATTGGTGTATTATTAATAGATTATTTATTTAAATTACAGTTACTTTTTATATTAATTTTGCAAATTATCTAATTATGGAATATTAATCAATACGGTTTAGTTATTTATGGGAAACACATACTCATTACATGAATAATGTTAATATGTTTAATGAACTTGCGACACGTTCAGGATATCTTTGCTATGATCATCACAAGACAGCTTCGAGGCGAGGTCTGAGATATGTCTGAGATATGTCCTGAGATAGTCACAAGAGGATCATAAGACATGTCCTAAGATACATCTTATGACAGGTCTTAGGATAGCTTCGTGAAAGTGGCCCCTGTTTTTTAGTGGTTGTCGTTTGTTGATGTGGATCATAAGTGTTTCTCGTTTCTCGTTTTTTTATATAGATTAGACCGTTGGTTTTCTTTGTGAATTGTTTTACACTAGTCATTGTGTGGCCCTTTATAGCTTTTTGTTCAGTGTGAGCCAATGCTCCGTGTTGAAGGCCGTACTCTGACCTATAATGGTTTACTTTTTACAAATTGTGACATGGTTTGAGAGTTGTCTCATTGGCACTCTTACCACATCTTCTTATATCTATTAACCAAGTTTTTACCAGTTATCAAGTTCAGTTAAATCATTTGAAACATGTTCTTGTGTTTAAGTTGGATTTCGTCTAGAATACCCAAAGGAGTTATCATCCGCAAATAATCTACATAGCGACGTTAAATTTTCGCTAATACCATTTATGTAAATCAAAAATTGAGGGCCCGTAAACTGAACCCTGGGCCAACCTGCAGACACTTTACCCACAGAAGACGCATTGTTTTTATTGATAACCTTCTGCTCTCGATTTTCTAAATAACTGGAAAACCATTTTAATAAATTACCAGGGGTGGTGTTCTCGAAAGTATCCTAAGATTCGTCCTAAGACACATCCTAAGACCAATTTTAGGATGGACTTAGGATCATCTTAGGACACTCTTTAAGTTGTGTCTCGAAGCTATCTCAGACGCATCTTATGTTAGGACGCCCTAACATATCCTAAGTGCGAAATTTTAAATCGTTAAAGTGATTTTTTGATAAAACATTCATTAATGACGAAATGCATGATTTCAAAGCGTGTAATCATAAAATAATATCAAAAACGATTGTAATTTAACTGGAAAACAATTTGTTTTGATATGAGAATTGAATTTGTAGTGTCATCGTATCGTGAAACACGAAGTTCAAAGTTTAAAATCATGCACAATTTCTTTTAATACGAGTAAATAATCGATGGTGCGTTTCATTTCATGTTCATCCTCAGTTAAAATAATGCGAAATCCAAACTTTTGTTCACAAATTATTGTCTGAGACGTGTCCTAAAGTTAGGATAAAGATAGGATGATCTTAAGACATCTAATTAGGTTTCTTAAAGTTAGGACGAAACATGCGATACATACTAAGTTAAGAGAGCTTCGAGAACACGACTTAGGACAAAGACGTGTCATAAGATGGTCTTAGGATACGTCCTAATCCTAAGATAGCTTCGAGAACACCACCCCAGATATCCAACAGGCTTTTAATTTGAGACGCAGACCCTTGTGCCATACTTCATGAAATGCTTTTGAGAAATCGGCAAAAACAAAGCATATTTCTCCCTTATTTTCAAGTGCTTTTAAAATCGAATTATAAATTTCCAAGAGTTGATGTGTAGTTGAATGTTTTGCTAAAAATCCAGACTGGTAAAGGTAAAAAAGGTCATGTTCAAACATAAAATTATTATACTGTTTATATTTAACCCTTCCCATGACCTAACATACACAACTGATAAGTGAAATCGGACGATAGTTATAGGGAATTGAAGATACTGTTATTTCTTCTTTACAGACGATCAGTAGCTTGTGACTATTCAAATCAGGTAAAGTAGCTTTCTCGTATATAAGATTATCAGGATATCTATAATTTCAAATGCGTTTATTTCAATATAATTTAAGTTTTTTATATGTTTTTTTGTTTTGGTTTTTTTTAAGTCTGAGAGTAGTGCATGCTCGTGGTTTAGGTGAGAAACAACAAAAAATTTAAGTCTGCATTTCGCATTTATCAAGGTCGTCATATGTCATTTCACCAATATACCTTTTTGATTATCTTTTCAGAGGCGGTATGTCAGTTGACCTTTTATTATTTTTTATGACCATTCTCATAATTTTCAGTACATTTTTGGATTTGCAGAGTATTCGATAATTATATCGTATACATTATTTTCAAATTGCTCCTTAGCAAAGTTCTTCATATTATCGACTCTATATCGTTGATTTCTGAATGAAAAGGGGAATGAAAGAAAAACAACAAACACATACCCTAGGGGATGGCTTTTTTTCTAACTAGAAGTTTACACCGTGGGAAAACGTGTGGTGTATTTTTAAAACTGTCATGTTCATAAATGAATCAATAATCTCCAAGATTGCTCTTTAAATATTAGATAACAATAGTTCCTGTGGTGACTTGTAGTCAGTTGGTATATTAATAGCTATACAAATAGAAATTGCACTAAATGAGAAGTGTGTATGGCGTCTGCACAGCTCCCTGCAACGAAATATAGTGAATTTATGGATTACGCCAACAAGACAGAAACCCAATGATACATTAAAATCAATCAATTGAGGTCAACATACAGTTTTCGAAAACACTGCATAACATGAGGAGGTGTGGTATGAATGGCAATGGGACAGTTATTTACCGAATATCAAATGACTTGGATGCAAGCAACTATATATATCATCATTAGGCTTTCAATATTAAACAAAACCAAGACCGTATAAGCATAGTCAGCTATTAAAGGCAAGGTATGTAAAATAATTCAAACGAGAAAAACCAACAGTCAGATTTATGACAAAAAAAATAACGAAAAACAAATATAACAGACAGAAACCAGCGGAAACCACTGAACTATAGGCTCCTGACTTGGGACAGGCACATAGATAATGTGTTGGCGTTAAACACGTTTGTGTGCCTGAAACCCTCTCTTAACGTGGAACAGTAGATACAGTACAGTCAGTCACAAAAAAATCAATTGCAAATGGCTCCTTCTCTCATCATATAAGCAGGATGCACAAAAACCAACATTAAGAGAAAAGAAATGACGTACCGATCTATGAGTACAGTTACTGAAATATAGTTCAAAGCCATATGCCAACTAATAAATAAATGATGTTTTCAAAGACTTAAGTATCAATTAGTACAAATCTAGCAGATTTAGTGTGAAGACGTCATAAACTGTCTAAGAAAAGCCTGACCGTGTGCAATGCTAAAATACAACTACATAGTATCGTCAGGATTTAGACCTACCCTCATTTACACGGGACATTGGTGTTACAGCAAAACATATTATGAACAAACTGTAAATATCGATTCAAAAGGAGTTGACCAGACCGATAAGAAGCATAAAATTTAAATAATAAAAAGGCGAAAGATAATACCAATTTAATTTTGAAAGTACTCGCAGTTACTGAAAGCTCGTTCAAATCCAATAACAACTAATGTGTTTCCTTTCATTTAAAAAAAATCTGTTTCTGACTTGCCGACGTTGAACGCATGAGAAAATCCGAAGAAAGAAGTTCGACAAAGACATTTCAGCTACGAGGTGCACAACTTTTGATAAAACAAATTCGTGACTTCGTTTTTGTACATTTGGTACATATTGACATGAAAATCAAAATAGCATGCACAAGAAAAATCATTTCACAAACGACTAAACTGGCAATTTTATTTTAATCAAATACAAATAAACAACAAAACAATTATTAGCAGGAAATGTATAAGTCCAATCTTGTATAAAGACGTTGCTTTTGGAATTGGTGCTCTTGATTCTCGTCATTCAAGTGTGTAATTCAATATGTGAATTATCACATTACAAAAACATTGTTTTTTTTTATTTTACAATACTGGATTTCAGATAGCTGGGATTCGAACTTTTGAAATATTACACTGTGAATAACTACAAGTCCAAATTTCCAAATACTGTGAAAGAGATGGCGTTATAGACCTCATTTTATATGTTTTTTTTTCAACTTTTGAAGTTTTAACATAGGCTACATCGGGAAAAAATAAGAGATACATGTATTACTGAAGCACTTTTAAGAAGTTTTTTATTTTACTTTCTGTTCTATTACACTTTCTACTTAAGATTTAAGGCACATGAGAATTTACAAAACATAAGAAAGTATAAATATCAGTAAATTAATTTCAAAACAAGCATAAGTTGATTTGAGAGAACATTATTTTAGCTCAATTTAACAAATACAACTATTGTAAAAGAAAGAACAACCAAAAAAGAGATCCAAAAGAGAATGAAATCTAAAATAGAAATAACGTCCTTCCATGTTTCTTCTAATTTACTCTCGTCTGTATCTCTATCCAGTTTTCCGTTTTCATTCCTATCGGTGATTTTTCTTTTACTTTTGCACCGACACGCCATTAAACCTGATATTAAACGAGGGACTGGATCAGTTCTGTAATGAAAGCGTAGTTGTATTGCAGTAACGCACACCGTAAACAACGCAATTCCTAACTGAAATATCATGTACTGTCCAAAAATGGATCCTGTCGTCTTTGGAAGTTCAGAATTAACTATTATCAAAAATACCGCAAATGACAGAAAAACGGTGATGGAATATCCCATCTTCTCTCCGCTGTCTGCTGGGAGAACAAAGGTGAAGAGATTTAGAACGCCAAGTAATATAACAGGTACGATTATGTTTAAAACATAAAATCCTGGAGTTCGCTTAATCGTTACAGAGTATGTTAACCTAGATTCCAAGTCAAATGTGTCATGATACAACTTTGTTGAGATTACAGTCCATACAGCATCGTCTTCTAACTCAGCTGTAATTATTCCGTAAGTTCCCTCACGAATTTCTACCTCGAATGCATTATTGGACCAGTCAATAAACGATATATTGCATGTTTGGTGATCAAACGGAAAATATTTTACGTCAATGTTGCATTTTGATTCAAAAACTTCATAAGGTTCCCATATCACATGTCCGGATATATTGATATTAACATTGATTACACTACTGCCCAATTCCTGCAGCTTGGTAAATCCATTTTGCAATGCAAGTGCTGGTTTCCACACGTAACTCTGTGGGACATTTATACTTATCACTCCACCATAAAGTGCTGGATCCCATTCCAGATATTGATCTTTCCATAGTGTGCTCAAATAACCAGTAGTAGTGAGTCTTTGTGCGGCTTCGTCTACTCCGTTTATCCCAACTAAATAAAAATCGACCAAAAGCACAATCATATCATCCTGATCTCTGACTGGGCGAACTTTCTTTTGATAACTATTTGTAGTGAACAAATCTATGACTAATGTTTTAGCATTTTCACCTGTTTGTGCACAGGTAGCCCCAATAAAAATAATAGCGACTAGCAAGACTGTTGCCGGCATTGCTATTATGAGTCTATTCAATGTTAAATGGTTTTGTGTGAATAGCAATCCTATTTATATGATACTTAAAATCAATGATCTAATACAAATACAATAAATGTTAATATAATCAGACTGGCTGTAACAGACCATAACAACTACTTTAATAAAACTCGTAACTTAGTCGTAAATTTCAAGAACAAGTTTGATCCAAATAAGGAGTACACTTTTTTTTTATTGCGTCTGTTGATACATGACCTATTTCATTTTTTTAAGGATTTGTTGAAAGGGGGGATATTCTTTCTCAGTGAGATTTTAGATTCCTCGGCTGCATAAGTTACGTCTCATGTATGTTTTGATCCATCTATTGGGTGTTATCGTTGATGGGTTTCCGTCATGTATGTTCTGATCCATCTTTTTGGTGTAATCGTTAAGGGTTTCCGTTACTAAATTAATTAACTGATTATTTCAGGATATTAAAAAGGCTTGCGGTTTTCGAGACACAAATAACATTCATCCATCCACCCACCCATCAAACATTGCAGGCTTTAACTATGTGTTTAATGTTCTTTCAAATATATATAAGAATAATCAAAATATATCCGTTCAATGGTAATATATAGATTTTTTTTTGTCAAAACTACAATTAGCAAATGCCAACTAAATAAGCTCATTTTTACGGGCTCACTTCGAACAATTAAAGGGAAAATTAGTTCCATGCATATAATTAAATCTTCTACTGTATGTGCGATGTCTTGTGTTACTCTTTAACTAGACATCAGATAAGTTATCTAATTTGATTATAGGACAATATGATAGATGCAGCATTGGTATCATGATATTTATACTCTACCGGAGCATATCATATCACAACCTATTATGGCAGTCGTCTCTGCTCAAACCTAATTTTAGTGTCGTATGCAGTTAGAATACACACATGTCACATTGATACTCACAACTGCTTGTTAAAACCCACCAACAAATTGGCAGAATTCGGCCACAGCCTTTTATATTATTATTTCCAAACTTATGCATATTGTATACAAGAAATCTCAATATATGTATGTACAGCAGACTAGCCATTGAATTGTCACTGATATAGCTGAAATTATGACGTTACCGGCAGATCGCTGACTATGGCAACCGTACTGTCAAATATAAATAAGATCCATTTTGTTACATCTGGTGATCCGTTTATTTGGCAATCGCCATGGCAGTCAGCAAGCAGGGTTTAAGAACATCTGTTGTTCGACCTGCTAGTCAAATGCGTTTTGTTAAAATATACTTTTTCACTTTTTTGGTCTTTTGGAAAATTTTGTTTGTGCTGTATTTAGACCCCTCTACCAAGAAATTTGTTTTGCAAGCACACGTATAAAAATTGCGGTTTTTATCCAACGCAATCATAGGTTTGAACGTTGTTTTCAATTTAGACTTGTTTATATATGTAACACTCAGAAACGTGTCCTTCCCCCAAACGTGTCCGATTCCCCCAAACGTGTCCACATGACGTCACTGAACTGCAAAACATGTCCTAATGTAAAAGGGCGCCAAAGCGTGTCATTTGTATAAACACCCAAACGTGCCCAATACCCCAAACGTGTCCAATCCCCCAAACGTGTCCATATCAAGCTTAATTTTTTTCCTTTACTGGAACTATCATTCGTGTCCATATTATAAATTCGTAGGTTATTTGGTTATTGCTTTTTCATTAACGTATACTCATTTTACTCTTTCATTAAAAAAATAGAAATAAATTACTTTAGGTCTTTTTTTAACCGGCAGTATAATCTGGGTAAAAGTGCCAATATGTTCGGCTATGTTGGATGTAAATGTAAGCAGCCATGCTCAGTTAATTTGTAGATATTAAATCAAATACCTCGTGTAGGGAGAGTGTCACTCTTTCTGCGCATTAAAACCTGTGTAGCAATTCACTCTTTCATGGTGCCATCAGTTGTATTTTGGAAGGCAACATTCTTTTTTTTTTTTAATTTCCGCAACTTTTATTTAAAACGGCCTCTTACATAACGGAGATTGAAGTAGTTTCTTACTGAAGTCATAAAAAAATTGGTTGTTACTGGCTCTTAATTTTTTTAGATTAAAACCCCAACTAGTATTAATCCCGAATAACCGTAAAAATTTAGGCCTAATCCTAAATTCCCGGTATGATAATAAAACCTATGTACAGTATTTATTGTTAACATGATGTCGTTCAAATAATGCATGAAATATTTGGCACTGGACGTTATGTCTCTTGTTTGTGTGTCTTTAGTGATGCTCGAAACCTAAAATTTATTAAAAAACCTGATAAACAGTAAACTTTTGATTTGAAGAGTTTTTAAAATACCAGAACTGTTGAAAAAAAGGAAGTCAATTCTGCGGAAAGCCCGCCGTGCAATATTCGGTTTAATATAAAAGGCATCATCAGAATTTATTAGTACAAAATAATTCACTTGGTAAACGATTAATTCAACTGTACTAAAATTATTTGTATGTTCGCTCTAAATCAGAATGCAATACTTGCCACTTGCATTTCAGTCAAAAGTTAATTCATATGTTACAGATTAAATTTGCAATTATGATAATCATTAACAACCGGCATTGAACAAACTAATGATAATAAATGACCACTTCATCAACTGTGTCCCCCATCATAGAATTGCCGTAAACGTTATTGATGTCATTTGTACATGTATTAGCGCTAAAAGACTTGAGACGTTCTGGCGTTTAAAAGTGGACACGTTTTGGCGAAAAACAATTATCGGACACGTTTGGGGGTTATGAAATCGGACACGTTTGGGCAATATTGAATATAACTAAATTGTTATTCGCCGAAACGTGTCCACTATTTAACGCCAGAACGTCTCGCGTCTTTTAGCGCTAATACATGTATGCCCTGAATGAAATCAATAACGCGTTTACGGCAATTCTTTGATGGGGGGAAACAGTTGATGAGGTAGTAATTTATTAGCATTAGTTTGTTCAATGTCGGTTGTTAACGATTATCATAATTGCAAATTTAATATGTAACATATGAATTAACTTTTGACTGAATTTGCTTATTGTCCAGTTGCAAGTATTTCATGCTCATTTAGAGCGAACATACAAATAAATCTAGTGCAGTTGAATTTTAAAATCGTTTACTATGTAAATTATGTGTTACTGATAAACGTGTCCGATTCCCCCAAACGTGTCCACATGACGTCACTGAACTGCAAAACATGTCTAAATGTAAAAGGGTGGCAAAGCGTGTCATTTGTCTAAACGCCCAAACGTGTCCATTCCCCCAACCGTGTCTATATCAAGCTTAATTTTTTTTTTCTTTTACTGGAACTATCATTCGTGTCCATATTATAAATACGTAGGTTATTTGGTTATTGTTTTTTCATTAACATCTACTCATTTTACTATTTTATTAAAAACTAGAAATAAATTACTTTAGGTCTTTTTTAAACCGGCATAACCTTTTTTAGATTAAAATCCCAATTAGTGTTAATCCCGAATAACCGTCAAAATTTAGGCCCAATCCTAAATTCCCGGTATGATAATATAACCTATATACAGTATTTATTGTTAACATGATGTCGTTAAAATAATGCATGAAATATTTGGCACTGGACGTTATTTCTCTTGTTCGTGTGTCTTTAGTGATGCTCGAAACCTAAAATTTATTAAAAAACCTGAAAACCAGTTTATGATTTGAAGAGCTTTTAAAATATCAGAACTGTTGAAAAAAGAGGAAGTCAATTCAGCTAGAAGCCCGCCGTATGATCAATATAAAAGGCATCGTCGGAGTTTATTAGTAACACATAATTTACATAGTAAACGATTTTAAAATTCAACTGCACTAGATTTAATTGTATGTTCGCTCTAAATGAGCATGAAATACTTGCAACTGGACAATAAGCAAATTCAGTCAAAAGTTAATTCATATGTTACTTATTAAATTTGCAATTATGATAATCTTTAACAACCGACATTGAACAAACTAATGCTAATAAATTACTACCTCATCAACTGTTTCCCCCAATCATAGAATTGCCGTAAACGCGTTATTGAATTCATTCAGGACATACATGTATTAGCGCTAAAAGACGTGAGACGTTCTGGCGTTAAATAGTGGACACGTTTCGGCGAATAACAATTATTGGACACGTTTTGGGGTTATGAAATCGGACACGTTTGGGGAATATTGAATATTACGGACACGTTTGGGGAGAATAGACACGTTTGGGGGAATCGGACACGTTTGGGGGGAAGGACACGTTTGGGAGTGTTACATATATATATATATATATATATATATAAATGACTATTAAAGATCGTGGTAACTGAAGATAGATTAAATACAATTTGGATCGTCGTGGGTACACAGCGAATTCTGCAAATTCGAGACAAAGTAAATTCAGTCTTAAAGGTTGATGTTACTATTGCTAATGAGATGATCCATGATGAAGAACTTCTTACGAAAGTCGGCGGCTTCCTTCTACATCCTAGGAAACTTGCGCTGGTAGAAAGTGGTGTTGAAGTCTACGACTGGATAACGAAATGGGCTCGCTTGAATCCCGAATACTTTTGTCTCTATATTTCCTTTCGATACAATATAATCGCGATGTTTTTCATTCATTTTTATTAGTGTTATGATTAAAACGGCGAGACAGCACCCGAACAACACAAAAGAATGAAAAAGACAATTTGTGCATATATTTTTTTAAAGTTGAGATATGATATTAAACTACGGCTAGCATCAAAAGCTAACGGTATTTCCAGCAATTTGATCATATCAAAGCAGTAGAAGTTTCAACAATTCCAGTGATAAACTTCTACTTTCTTGAAAATTTTGACAGTCCGTACACAATTATGTGCAAAGTACACAAAAAAAAAAGATTAATTCGATCAACTTATTTTTTATCACTGTTCTCTTTTTAAAGCGTATAAAGTTCAAAAAACAAACTGTCATAAAAGATTACTTTTTTTTCTACCAGTAGGAGTTTGGTCAATAAGAAAAATTTAATTTTTCGTCT